AGCCTAAGCCTAGAATAAGTCTCCCTTCTAGATATAAGTATTACGAAAGTAGTTATATCTTTAGATTTATATATAATATTAGGAAATAATAAATAATTTACTTTTCTAATTATACTTATATCTAATAGTTAGTTAACCTATATAACTACTTTACTCGATACTAGAGTAATATCCTATATAGCGATCGATAAAGGATTAGCCTATACTATCCGAGATATTTAGAATATTCTATAGATACCTTTACCCTAGTTAGTAAAGATAGAGGGATATAATAGGAAAGATAGAAATACTATTATCTATATAATTATTCTAACTCTCTAGATCGATAGATAACAGTTTTATTAGATACTATTTCTTATTACCGGTTTAGGTTATTACTATATAATTATCGGATAAGCCTAGTTTGTATATTATTAAGTATTATTAGATTATATAAATTACCGAATCTAGTAGCCTACTAAAGTTACCCTAGTAGATAAGGTAGCCAGGAAACTAACTCTAGAGATCCCTCTACCGGTATTAATATATCCGCGGGTTATAAATTAGAAATATTAGGTATATACCGAAGCCTATAACCGGGAAATAGAGTAACTAATCGAGTAGAAGCGGATCGATAGATCTTAGGTTATTTTAACTATATATAATACTAAATATCGACTTCCTAAAGAGTTCTTAAGTAATTATATATAAGCCTATAAGATATTTAGCTATATAATAGCTAGGGATAGAGAACCGGTAGTCCTAGCTCCTTAACTATCTTACGTAGAATTAAATACTATATTTCTAAGTCCCGCTCGAGCTTTTATTAGTCGAGTAGGGTTTAAACGCTATATATAGGCTAAGGATACTAAAGTATTTATTACTACTCTTAATAAGATCGATATAGTAATTACGGAACTAGCTCTTAGGAATAAAGTAGTTATAGAGAAGAAGTCTATTTAATAGTAAATTCCTAAGATATACTATAATCTATAGGAGTTCTTCTCGTAATATAAGTCCGATATTCTATTACTATATTAGGGCTTATTCGACTATAAGATCCTTCTTAATAGAGAGTAGAGACTAGGCTATTATCCCCTTTATAAAATAAACTAGGAGGAGCTTAAAGTAGTTCGAAAGTATCTTTTCGAGAACTTATAAAAGGACTTTATCGTTCTATCGAGATACCCCTTTACTTCTCTAATCCTAATAGCGAAGAAGATAGATAGCGGACTATACTTCTATATAGACTACCGACGACTAAATACGATTATAGAAAAAGATATCTACCTATTACTACTTATTAATAAGATAATAGACCGGTTAGTCTATATAAGATACTTTACTAAACTCGATATATAGTAGGGATTCTATCGACTTAGAATAGTAGTAGACTTAGAGGATCTAATAATATTTATAACTCGATATAGGACCTTTAAGTATAAGGTTATACTATTTAGGTTATATAGTAGATCAACCTTCTTCTAATAGTATATTAACTAGATACTTAGAGATCTCTTAGATATAGTTACTATTATATTCGTAGATAATATCCTAATCTTTAGCGAGGACCCCGAGAAGTATATTAAATACGTTCGGGCTATAATCTAACGATTATAAGCTATAGGACTTTAGGCGGTAATCTATAAGTATAAGTTCGACCGAACCGAGACTAAGTTCTTAGGTTTTATTATAGGAGTAGATAGAGTAAGGACTAATCCTAAGAAGATTAAGGCTATTTATAAGTAGTAAACTCCTATAATAGTTAAAGGAGTTTAGTCCTTTCTTAGGTTCTATAACTTCTATTATCGTTTTATTACTACCTATAGTTATATCGCGAAGCTACTCTACTAACTTATAAAAAAGGACTATATATTTATATAGAGTAAGGACTATATAAATATCTTCTAGTAACTAAAAACTACTCTTTCTTCGGTATCTATCTTAGTATACTACTATCCGGAGAGGAAGATAAGACTAAAAATAGATATCTCGAAGGATATTATCGCGGGAGTACTATCCTAGAAGTAGGATAGGTTATAGTATCCTATTAGATTCTTCTCTAAGACTATATTACCTAGAGAGTAGAAGTAGGATATCTATAACCGGAAGATACTAGCGATTATAGAAAGTATAGATAATTAGCGGACTAAGCTATTAGGACTATAATATAAAGAAAGATTCGAGGTCCTAACGGATTATCGGGCGTTAGAGTACTTTATATTATTAAAACTTCTAAACGCTCGTTAAGCTTACTAGGGTTTAAAACTTTCCTAGTACTATTTTATTATCCGCTACTAACTAGGATAATAAAATACTCTTACGGATATATTATCCCGCTTCTAGATTAAATAATAAGAGGAACCGGAGAGCTAGATATTACTACTAGAATCCTACTTAGATCCCTAGATTATAAATAAGCGTAAGACTATTCGAATTAACCGACTCTATATTAGTAGTAACTTAATTAAATAGTTACTCTTAGTAAACCGGGATAATCTAGAGCTAGAAGTATAGCGTTAGGAAGCCGAATAGGAGAATTCCTTAAGTAGATTCGACTTACGAGAAGGGGTACTAATCCGTAATAAGAAGCTTATAGTCCTAGTATATAGGTAGCTACGAACCCGGTTAATCTCCGAAGCCTATAATTAACTATCTTTAGCCTATCTAAGCGCTAAGAAGCTTTAGAAGTTCCTAGTAAGCCGTTTTTAGTAGGAGACTCTCCGCTAGGATATTATTTAGTTTTCGGATAACTATATAATATATAAGTATACTAAAACCTAGCGAATAAAGACTCCGGGACTCCTAAATCTATTACCGGTACCGGATAGACCCTAGTAGTATATCTCTATAGACTTTATATACCTACTAAAAGACTAATATAGATATAATAACGCCTTAATAGTAGTCTATAGATTAATAAAGCGGATAGTTTATATATCCTTATTTAAGGATACTATAGCTAGGGATCTAGTAAAGTTATAGTTAATATACTATTATAGATAGATAGGACTTCCGGACTTAATTATATCGGATAGAGGACTATAGTTTATTATATTATTCTAGAAGACCCTATATAAGTTAATAGGGATTAAGCGGAAGTTATCTACTCTATATTACCCTTAAATAGATAGGTAGTCGGAAAATACGATCTAGTTACTATCTTAACGACTATATGCCTTTATAGATAAGTCCGCTGATAACTAGTCTAGTCTACTACTAATAATAGACTTTACTTAGGCGATTTTATCTTATAAGTCGACTAGGGTCTTACTATATTATACCGAATATAGGTATAAGCTAAGAACGATAGTTAATTAGTAACTTAGTAGTAGCAGACAGGATCTCTTATAACTCCTAGGTAGTATAGCTACGATAACCTACGTATAGAAGAAGGAAGGTAAAGTAACTATATCCTATATAACGAAGAAAACTAAGATAAAGGGGAAAAAGGAAAGGAAGAAATAAGGAAGATAAAGTACTACCTTAAATATCTATTATAGGCGGGGCTATAGTAAGGTAGCAGAATCCTTATAGAAAGTCCCGGATAGAAGGTTCCTCTATAGAAGTAAACCGAAAGGTAAATAATCCTTAGGCTCTAGCGTATATATATACGTAAGACTTCTATTAATAACGCGTAGATAAATATCTAATCTTATAAATATAAATATCGATTATATAATCTCCTCCTTAACTCCCTAAGTCTATATCTATTAACTAGCTAACTAATCTACTAGTTAATACTAACTCGCTAGTCGGCTAACTAACTAGTTAGTAAACTTACTAGTTTACGGTAACTAACTAGTTAACTTATCTAACTAACTCTATACTCTAAGTCTATTTACGAACTAGTTAACCGACTAGCTAGTTAACTATTAACTTATTATCTATATATTATATTACCCCCTGTTCAGACTCGCGACTATCCTTAGGCGTAGTAATATTATAGTATATTATCGTCTAGGCGTACTAGTAGCTTCTTATTAAGAGTCTCGTACTCTAACTAATAGTTAAGATTTACCGGAGGTCTAGGGTAGGATAGGTAGGTTTTATAATATTCCCGGAGTTTCGAAGCTATAGTCCGGAAATTACTAGTATTATACTATATTATATTATTCTCGAATCCTATCTACTTTACTCGATACTAAAGCTTCGACCGGTTAATTCGCGAAGTAAGGATTATCTCTATATTATACTCCGGCTCTAGTATAACCTATATCGCCGGTTTAGGGATAGGCTATCCTAGAAGTAGATCTATACTTATTATATAGCGTAACTTCTCTGGGTTAAAGATATTATATTATAATAACTCTTCTAGTAGTTATAGTCGAAAAGTATATCCTACCTTCTCGATAATCCGGAAAGACCCCTCTACTTTCGGATAGAGTTTACCTAATAGCCCTTCTATAATCTACTAATTATCCTTTATTGTGATTATAATAAGATTCCTAATATCGAAGTTTAGCTCCCTACGATATCGATTCGCCTAGGTATACTAACGTTCCTATACTTTAGCTATATTATCTCGTACGAACTTATAAACTTAGCGAATTTTATCTACCTAGTCTCGAGCTATCTCCCGGTCTAGCCTATAGAGATCCTGTCTACTACTACTAAGTTACTAATTAACTATCGTTCTTAGCTTATACCTATATTTAGTATAGTATAGTAAGATCCTAGTCGACTTATAAGGTAAAATCGCCTAAGTAAAGTCTATTATTAGTAGTAGGCTAGACTAGTTATCGGCGAACTTATCTATAAAGATATATAGTTATTAAGATAGTAACTAGATTATATTTTCCGACTATCTATCTATTTAAGGGTAATATAGAGTAGATAACTTCCGCTTAATCCCTATTAACTTATATAGGTACAACAACCATTTGTGCCGACGCGGCCGGATTCGGCGCCCCCCTCGATCGGGTTTGGCGCTGGCCTTCGGGTGCCCCGTTCGGGTTTAGCGCGTCTCGATGCGGTTTGGCGCGGCACTAGCCCCAAGATGGCATTCCGACCCTCCTAATCTATCTTGGGTTTAGCGCGTCCAGACGTGGTCTAGCGGCCCGCGCCTTCCCCGAACGGGCATCTGCTGTCCTCCACCGCCAACCAGGCGCCGCCAACGGAGTATATAACTCGGTGCGTCGCTCGACGTCCTCGACTTCGTAGTCCTGCACTTCCCTCTCGCCCGGCCGGGTCCAGCGACCTCGCCGCCGTGAAATGATACCGTATTTCCGGCTCGCACGGCACCGGACGCTCTGTTTCAGCTGGTTACCTCGAACGCGGAGCAGTGCCATTTCTCCACTGGTTGGAGGGTCGGCGGCGCTGTCTACTGGTCCATTGCCCTGGTGTTTTTTTTCAGCTACAGTTCCCGGTTCGCAATCCCTGCTAGAGAGAATTTACCCCTGGATACGTGCGTGCGGGCCGGCTTTCACCACCTCGCCTGTATGTCCCCATCTCTCCATCATGGTCATAATGGGCACTGTTGGCCAGGAGACTCGATTACCTCTGGTCTTTGCACCAATGCTCTTACGATACGACGCTATCCAACTCTCGCTGTCTAATCCGCGTGCTCGTGTGTCATTGGCTAGTCTTCTCTCGCCGATCCTTCGTCTTGAAGCCGTGGCGCAGAATGACCGGGAGTCTTACTTGTTCGCGGAGCCTTTTGTCTCGTACAGCAGCCTCGGAGAACTCCGCAATAGAACCTAAAACACTGTGATGGCATTGGCCACTCACTTGAATGGACGCCTTCGGCCGCACCCTGCTATTTTCCAGGGGCGATCCTTTGACCCTGGCCCTCTGTTAGCAGGGCGCAGCAAGGCAGATAGATGCATGCACGGACAGATCAGGTCCAACCTGATGATGCGATGATACTGGATTACCCAATTGGAAAAATGCCGCATGCTGTGACACGTTGCCATCTGACCCCTTGGTTATTCTTGCTCTGAGTGTTGGTGTATCACGCACGTCTCTCGGCTGACGGGCAGCACTTCAGCCCGTGACGATGGTCAGTCCCATCCAATTTCCCACGCCGCCCCAGACAGGAAGTCGAGGTCAAAAGAAGTGAGAGCTTGACTCGGGAAGTGCATATAAAGAGTGTTGGGATTCCCTCCTGCGGCGAGGGATGCTGGACATGTGTTGCTCGCTTTCCTTCGATTTAATTCGGTACAAAGGGCACTTTGGAATCTCTGTGGGAGCGACAGAAGCAGATTTTCAGATTATTGTTCTTTCCTGTTGTTCATCCCCGCCGGTTCATTCTCTTGCCTCCGTGGAAACCATGGTCTCTATCGACCTGGACAACATCATCCATTACCACCCTTCCCCCATCCCGAAGCCCCCTTACAATCCACCACATTTGGCTACTTTTTCTCATGTTCCTTCTCACCTTCCTTCAAACCAGCCCGTCCTGATCCATCCCCTACCTCCGCGACCCCAGTGCCTTTCTCATGAGCCCTCGCAAACAAGTCGTGCTTGTCGACAGAGTCCCTCCCCTGCTGCTTCATTTTTGATTCCCGATCGCGACGCCCATCCGAACGAGTTTGATATGGAATTGGCGAACTTGGAAATGGCCGAATTTGAGAGCCAGGAGACTCCAGGACCATGCCTTGGAGGCAGCGAGGAGAGTCAATCAAAGAATATCAACGACACCCAAAGCAAGGAACTGCATGATCAACACCGTGGTAAGTAACCTACTCATCTGCTGGCTCCTCTAGCTTCTCAGGTCCCATCGGGTGCCATTAATTGTTAAGTTGAAGATAAGTGAAATGTGCTGACTTCTTATTCTAAAATGAGGCTCCCACAGCGACGATCGTTTTACGGACGATCTAAGGGTCCTCTCAGAGGACCCTGCTACGCCGCAAGATACTGCGGCCTCATCAGATTCTGCCGAGACAGACCTTTCATCAGCAGCCAATGCACCCGCTTGTCCTGTGGGAGCTGATGGTTCCGTTTCACCGAACGAACCGTGTCCCGTTCAAGGTTAGTGGTGTCTGGTGATAGGGTTTTCTTAGGTTGCTTCTCATCATACGACTACAGATCCTTCACCCACTGAGCGCAGTGAAACCCAGCTTTCCACTTTTGGCTGCGAGACAGTGGTCAACAGCCTGGCGGCCGGTAATGCCTCAAGTGATCAGGCGCCATCGCCTAATCCCAGCATACCTGTTCCAGCTAGAGATGAACCAGAGCCTGCGAATCAGCAGTCCTTTAGGAGTTCTGAAACTGGCGCAGAATCCAGAAAATTAACTCCTCTGCCTGTCACGGAGGCGCATCCCATCCAGTTGCACGCAAGGAACCTTTCAGCAACTCGCGGTAGCCACGTGGATGTGCGGCGTGATGGCAACGGCATCCGTTCAACAGATTGGTATCCTGACGACGAAGCGTTATCAAGCCCTATCTCGCCTGAGCTGCAACAGAAAAAGCAGGCAACTTCCGGATCAGAGGCAAAAGGTTCACCAAGAGATTTATCTAGATCGTGCTCCGTATCGGTTGTTGTACCTATAACCCGGTCCCGCGGACTACCATTAACAAGGTCCACTAGAGCCAGCTCAACACGCTGCACAGGGAAGAGGAAGAGTCGAGCAAAGACCCCTTGCAATGTTGACAGCGATGATCCCGATGATAGTGACTATACGGATGGGAACGATTCTGGTGTTGGTGACATCGACGCATTGCCACGTCTACAGAAGAGGCAGAGACGAACTGCTGCAGCGAAGATCCAGCCCGCTCAGGCTCGACGTGGAAGCCCGTATCGCCTGTTTTCCTTGCCGGCACCAGAAGAGGAAATTGCAAATTCGTGTCCCGACACAAGTTTTCAGGACATGCAAACCATTCCGATCAGAGGTTTTCTCACGCGGGAAACCTTTCTATCAAGAGTCATCTACTCGTGTACCTTTGAGGAGGATAGGCAGCCTTCTTGCCCGCATAAACAAACAAAAGCTCGCGCATACGAAGAAAGCTTAGACAAGACAGGGCACACCACACATCCTAGCAACAAAAAGGCATCAACGCGTGCCACTCGTTTCCTGCCCGATGAGGACGAACTGTTGATTGAATTGAAGGAAAAGCGAAACCTCCCATGGAGTCGGATCGTGAAGCATTTTCCAGGGAGGACGAAGGGTGCTCTTCAGGTTCGCTATAGTACGAAGCTGAAGAACCGAGGAACTGGAGGTTACAGGCGAGGTCGGAGCGGAAGGATTACACGTTCTGCAACTACGGCTGTGGCATGACACATCTAGATCTCTATGCCCCTTTTCATCGGCGAGTCGCACTTCCAGAAGATCGAGAGTGTTGCTTCGAGGCAGTTCTTGGCCCTTTGTGTTCAAGTTATGGAATAATATTTTTATGGATCCATGCGGCGAAGGTCGAGCAGTTCCAAAGGGTCTTCAAGTTGTTGGTTCTATTTTGAGTAGGAGACAGTAAGCTTAAGTTAATATTCATTCCAACAGGATGGCTTACAAGTGCCACGTCTTGTGCGTCTTCTGGTGAAAAACGAATTAGAGTATTCACTGATTCATGATCTCCAAGCAAGTCGTCAATCCAGCTATCAACGGCATCAGCGTTTGTGTCCATGGGGTAATCTGTTTTCGAATTCTCCTGTACTTCTATAGTGTAAACAAGACAGTACGAGCCAAACAACTTTAAGCAGAAATATACCAGCGCAACCACTAGTAGACCTGAGCAATGTTTAGGCTAGGATAAGGTACAGAGGCTTGATAAACTGTCTTAGAACATTTAAGTGTAGATTCGTGTGTAGTATCAGGGAAGAAAAGAAAACATGTATTATCCTACCATAATCAAAACACAATATGCTTTCCATCTACTCCATTTCCCGCGCTCGAGAAACGCCCTCAACGGCTGTGTGATTTTGACCTCCAATAGGTGCTCCACATTCAGGGCATCTAGCTTGCTCCATCGGCATACCGCACTCTCCAATAGCAAACTACAAAAAGAATCATTTAGCTTATTTTACTCGTCAAAGGTAACTTGGGACAATTCGAGGAATGGGAAATTCACTCACCGGATGTCCGTTGACGCAATTGTACCAGTGCCCAGAGTGAGTCACGATTCCTCCTCGCCCACTGACCATGGCCGTCTTGATTGATTGAAGTTCTTCTAAAGTGACTGTTTCGTATCGTGTTCCCTCATAGAGGCGGACCATCTCCTGGACCTTTTGTTGGAGCTCAGAACAGATCCTCAGTTCGTCGCATAGTTTCAACGCATCGGCGAGGAGATCGCGGGTGGTTTGAAAGCGATCTTCGAGCTTTTCTAGACCCATTTTTCCTTTGAGATCGCTTGACGTTTCTCCGGGATGGGAGCGGTGATACCACGCGTCCAGCTGGGCGATCTTGGCGAATGAGACGGTCGCCATAATGACGATACGGGAGAAATTTCCTTTATTGGCTTGAGTTATCAAGTCTCGGCAATCCTTCAGAACTTGAATCAAGGTTGATAATGGTTTGACGAGGCTTAGCCGTGGTAGTGTTGCAGATTTTCCGCTTGAATCTATCACTCTAAAGGCATCGCTAAGCATGACTTCCTTGGACTTGATGTAAATTAACCGTGCGCCGAGGGTAATTTGGTTGTCTGATTCTCGTGTTGTCATATTCATCGCCTCCATTCGGGCTGAGAGGGAGGCTACTTCGTCCCCTGATGACTTCTGGTAGATGGCAATCGCATCCGTGAGCCGTTTCATCGGCTGATTCTCGGCCTCCATGGCTTTGCTGAGAGCTAAAGCCTCCCTCGCGAGGCGTGCACAGGCTGCATATCGTGCTTCAAGCTGTGATTTAGTGTCCCCCACATCCACAGTGGCTCGCTTAGAGTTGAGCTTGTCTTCAATGTCATTCAGACGCGATTCAAGGCCTTCAAGGTCTGTGCGACCCTTGATAAGAAACCGCTTCCAAGTCTCATCCATAACGGCACGGTTGATAACACGATTGTAACGTTTCGTCACAAACTGGCGAATTGGCTGCTTACAGTCCGGGCACGATGGTATGACATTGGCAAGTGAAGAAGAGACATCTCGGAGACCGTCGAATTTTCCGTCTTTATCTCTCGTGTATACTTCATCCAGGCCAACCAATCCATCAACCGACTCACTGGTAAAGAAATGGCCACATCCAAGCACGACGATAGGAGTTTCATCGAGACTGATTTCGGAATAGGTTTTCCATTCAAGGAAGTCAACACGGGCGTCTCCCTTGTCGCCGCACTCTTGGCACAGATTATTTGGACAGTCTTCCCCGCAGAGGCTCGGGCATTGATGGCCGCATTTAAGAATCTTAGTGCATCGCTCATTGCAAGGAAGCCGGTCGCATATTGCCGCGCAAGGCATTGAGCAGGAGCCTTGGTGTTTGCAGGACCAGGTGCATCTCTCGATGCATGGTGCACATGCCTTTCCGCAGGTCAAGTCGCATGCTGAGTGTGAGCATCTAACCTGTACATATGATTAATATTTCCGATACGATGACCAGATGATGGATTCTAGGGACTCTTACCTCGCATTTTGCCTCGCAGTAACCACAGCTTTCCCCATTATGACATATCTTGGGACACCTATGATTGCAAACGCCGTGGGGGCGGTCACATCTTTTCGTGCACTCCGGGTGTTTAAATACTCTGCTTCCATCGTGGACTTCCTCGAGACAATTTCCGCAGCAATCGCTGCAGTTGTGGCCACAGCTGAGAACATCGGTGCATGGCCTAGGGCAACGGAAGATCGGGGACGTTACATCTTTGAAACATGCAACTTGAACTGTATGGCCACATTTTGGAACATATTTTTCGACCTCGACGTCGCATTTAATGACTTTCAAGTTAGGCATCTGATGGCAAAAGACCGATTTCTTGATATGACCACAAGGAAGCTCCACGTCTTGAATCTTCGCCATGCAAGGACCACAATCTTCACCACAAAGCCTGGGACACTCGTGCTCACAGGTTGATCGGATACGTGGGCAAGGTTTTCCACATGCAAAGCCATCGTGCATGACCGCTGAATGGCACTTGGCCTGGCATTGATGACCACATGGCTCGAGTCGACGGGTACACGGGAGACTGCACCCACCTTCAGGGCTCTTCCTCTCAAAGTCGTGGGGTTCATAACAGAGAATAGGCGTGTCCGAGTGGCGAGGACAACAGAGAGCCAACTCCGTGCTAACTGCATTCGCACGGGCGAGCTGATTAGGTCGAGCAGTGCGGGAATTTCGTCGTGGAATCGAGCGCGTCGGACTCTTGACAAAAGTTGGTACAGGGTATTCAACAGTAACTTCATCATGTCCAGAGAGATGACCGGTACATTTTCGTTGGTCTCTTCACCTTTACTCAGCAGGCTCCGGCAGACACTTCTCAGATATCTGATTGCTCGATCTCCATTCGTACCACCAAAGGATGCGTACAGAGTGCCAACAAATGAATCGACAGAAAGACAGTTCAAGAGAGAAGTATGGGTAATGACTTTAAGAAATGGCTCGTCGTAAGTTGGAATTGGTCGCACCCCCTCTGGATTGTCTGCATCCGCAGTTGCCAGGATAAAATCATATCCGTGAAGATTGTCGTCCACAAGATCTTTGGCGAGGAATTGATGATTCTCTCTGCTGTCGCTTTCAAGAATTCCAAGAGCCCCGTTCCAGAATTGAACGATCTCTTGAAGTATTGATTCCGAGCGTCTAGATCATGGGTTGTGGGATGGTATGCAGCCGGGTTTGACTTGAGGTCGGAAGCCTTATTCACATCGTGCGAGAATCTGCACCTCTCACCGTAGTGGCACCTGCCACGTTGAAAGTGCACACAGAATGTTTCCGACTGATTGCGCTTTCTGAAGCAGCTAGGTCCTCCTCGGTTGCTCGTATTGCCCCGAGATCGCCAATTTCCGCGGTGAGTCATCGTGAAAAGAGACAGCTGTAGAATTTGTAGCTCTCGTGATCCTTAAAGCAGTATAAATATTTATAACGCGGAAGGTTGCACGGATGGATGGGTGGATGTGATTGTCCGGAGAAGGGAAAGATAATCTTGGATACGCTAAGCAGGTATCCTCTTTGATAAGAGGGACGTAAGTAAGACTGGCTTGTACTTTGTAAATCTGACGTGTCCTAACGTCTTGCAGGACAACTCATACCTGCATCACCCCTCTTTTCAAAATCTCTTTACGTTGGGGGGGGGGATTCCAATATTTGCATTTCATCTCCGCTCGCTTTTTTTGGTTCAAAATTGTCAAGAAGGGTTGAATGGTAGGTGGGAGGTGCCAAAATCACGGGACGGATTCCAGTCGTCCGTCGTCTGCGTAGTTTTGGTGGGGAGGAGGGGGGGGAACAGAGTTCATCTGTCTTCGGGTCGTGGTTGGGTAAATAAAAACCCATACGGTCAAGGATGATGACGGCTCGATTGGCTGACTGGCCTAGAGTGATGGTTGTAATCGTTATCGCCAAGACATAACCCAATGCAAAATTGATTGAGCTTACCATACCGAATACCACGCCCTAGCTCACCCCCAGACTGTCCGAGTTAGGTGCAGAGAAAGGATAGCATGGTCTTTCGTAGAGGCTCATCTTCCTGCAGCTTATGTCTTGGGCTGCTATCTGTCTCTAGTTGGGGAACCTTTGATCGTGGGTCTTGAAGCTGCAAAGGTCATTATGCGCCATTCCATCTCAGGCGTCCAGACCAAGGCAACGTTGGTTTTTTTTTCGCAAGAGAGCCATTCTCGCCTGCTCCTGTTAGAGAAGGAGAAGACTGCCCTTTTAAGTAGCCTTCCGTCACATGGAAAGATGTGAAGAGCCGAGGTTTTGAATGAGGTTGTTCTGAACCGCGAACTTAAGAGTATTATTGAACTTCGGAGTAGGCCTCGACCGCTGGATAGTGGGGAACTTGTGGTTCTCCGGAAGGCTGATTGGACACGGCTGTTTGGCGGTTTGAAACCACGAGCCTTTCGAGTTGCTTCAGCTATTCTGACGTCAAAGCTCGTTAATAACTAGTTAGTTAACTAGTTAATAAGAAGGAAGGTGAGTAATCAAATCCCTGGAAGACCGCTTCTCAAGTACACGAAGAACATTCCTGTCGATATTATAGTACCTAGACATGCTAATATGTACCTTCAGCGGCAGGCACTTTCATCAAGTCTTCAAAATACAACGACATTCATTATCTTCTTAGCGGTAAAGTAAAAGAAATCTAGTTGCATGATGATTTTGTGATGATTCTATAGATGACACACGGTTCAGAACATCCATCTTTAGCCCCCACCCACCTTGGAAATTTCATGAGCTTCCAGGACCAACAAATATGTTCCTAGACTAATCCTGTCTTCAGCATGAGCGCAGCGTGAATCCAGCGTCCGAGAGTAGATTTCTTGGTCTAGTAGATGCTTCACAGGAACTATTACCATGGTTTCCTGACGACTAAAAGCTCCCATGCCGAGTTTGTGTCGTTTCCATAGGCACTTTATCGGAGTAGATTGGATACCCCGTTCGTAGTGACTCCACCACTGGATATAGTGGGGAACTTGTGGTAGTCCAGAGACCTGATTGGGCGCGGTTAATTGGCAGTTTGAAACTGCGACCAAACGAGCCTTTTTGAGGATTCGGCTTGGACATCAAATGCTCATTGCTAGTTATTAGAAGGACAGTGAGTCATCGAGGTGAGGCTTTTCGTCTTCCCTGCGTCCCTCATACATGTTGAGGGTCACTTCTCCTACGAGTGATGCAAACACTCCTTTCTCTGCCCCTGGGGTATAAACAGAATCTATAGAGCATGTGAAGAGCATGAACAAGAGGAGAGCGATTAAGACGGATTCTAGTATTCGGGGGAATTTAAATGTTATTGTTGTCCAACTGAATTTCCTCTAACCAGCTATTTCCGTTGTGACGCGTGCAGTCCGCTTCCATCTCAGCCTCCCTTATGCCAAAGCCGCGGTGGTTAACCCATATGCAATAGAATCAAGTTGCATTTCTTCCTCAGGGTGACGTGTTATAAGGGATAACACCGCTTCGTTGAAATCAGTGAAAAATGGCTGGATTGACAATGCTGCACTTTCAAAGACAGGAGGATATGCACCAGAATATGCCCAGTCGATCAACCACGCCTGTTCATGCTGATCTAAGATCAGGTTTCGAGGACTGATGTCGTGGTGTGTAAGGACAAACTTGGTAAAATAGAATGGCGGAACGTCTTTTGGGGCTTGATGGACGCTCTTGCAGATTTCTAGCTTGTGATTAAACCAAGCTTCCATTTCAGTAGTGTCCGTAAAAGGCCCAGCACTATAATCTGTGAAGAACCGACCCCGACATGGTCCTCCACCAATGGGGCCGGGCTTTAAAAGCTCAATTGACTGCATCTCTTGGATCATTTCAGCAACCTGCGCAGCGATTTTTCCTTGGGTGTCACGGGACAGGGCGTTCCAGCACTCATCCAGCGGTTGGCCTGGGATAAAATCCATGACAATATACCCAGATGTGCCAAAATATTGTGTATCATCTTTTACCTGGAATGAGCGATAGACTCGTGGAGCCCGAATAGTGGTTCTGGAAGCAATAAGACGAAGCATTTCCGCTTCACTAGCCATGACACTGCCACCACCCTTCATGATCAAATTCTCTGAAAGCCGCACAACCGTCGTTCCACCTAGCTGATGGAGAATAGGAGCAGTTGTGAGAAGGGTTGCCAGAGCCTCATCTGTGACAGAATTAAGGTCCTTTCCATCCAGTGGAAAAGATCCATCAGGCTCACGACTTTGTGGCTTGACGTGGGATGTCAGTAGATGATATTCAGCAGATTATGAATAAACATACATCGGCTATTGGGCGCATGAATAGTTCCATTTCAGTAAGGTAGATGACGATGGGATGACGGTAAATGTCGGATTATTGCAAACATAGAAACCCCCTTGAGGGCTACACGAGGTTATAAAGGAAACTCGGAGAGAGATTTTTCCGGTCCGGGATTTTATCTGTTTGCATTATTCGTGGCTTGCTGCCTACAGGTGCTTATGACCGACCAGTGGAATTGCCAACTAAGGGACTCTGACTTGGCAATGTGCCACCGAGAGCTAACTATATTAAGGACTTCTGGAATACTAACGGAACTCCCATTGTCATGGCTCCGGTCAGCCCTGGGCTAATGAGGTGATTAATAATAATAGACGGGTACGTTAACTAACTAACTTAACTAACACGGGCTAACTAACTAACCGAGTTACAGATGCTTGTGCATAGCGGATTACCCAACACCCAGATTCACTCATGAGCACCGGAGACGGTGTGAAAAATCCAATCGTTAGATGCTCCTTGACTTTGCAAGCGCTAACAAGTTCCCAATAGGCATGTTCGAAGGTATGGAAAATCCCAAAAATGAAACATTAGCTTGTTTTCATCGCGTTTCGTTTAAGCGCCTTTTTCGGTGCCGACAGTAGCAAAAGTATTGGATTGTGCCTATCCTGCGTCGATCAGATGCTATGCTCGCCCAATCCATCCACCTCGCTCTCACACCCAGGCGCTAATTCTGCACAATGAAAAACGTCGTGCAGTTCATACTTCTCCTTGGCTGAAACTACCCGACTTCGCAGCAGGATAATTTCTCGAGCAAAATACAACTTAAATGTTATTTTTGCGTTTTTATGTGAAGGAGCCTATATATATATAAGTGGTCAATATGTATCCATGCTCCACGGACAGGTCGGAGAGAATTAATAATTATATATGTGATTCGCTTAGCCGACTCAGGTATGAAACAATCTGAGTATACATCCCTCTCCTTTTTTTAAAGAAAGCCGGAACCATCTGGTGATTATCCAGTGGGACCAGGCTAACCGCTGGGCTGAGGAGCGTCAATCCTCGAACGCCTATACGATGGGTAAGGCATTGGGCGTCTCATGAAACGTCTTATACTAGTTTTGTTTAGACAAATTATATGGGTCTCCATTCAGTTCTATGGGTACTTAAAGGACCCTATTCCTTAAGTTTTAACATTCTGGTGCTTCATAATCCATCTGTGTTTTCTCGCCCGGAAGGTCTTATCCGTACAGACCATACAGTTTCTCTCAAATCCTGTGAGTTCTGTTTCGATATTTCATTGTTAGATAAGTCATTCTGACTTGCGTTTTTAGCCTGCCTCGTTAGCTATGTCTAGTTTTCAGCCTGTTCACTATGTGCCGGCCAGTCGCCAGGCTCAAATGTTGGCTATGCCAGTGAAGCGCATCCTCGCCGCTCCGCATCGAAAGGCAGCGGGTACCAATCACTGGTGCCTCTACCTTTCTACATCCCCTACGAGCTCGATTCGGATTGATTGTCAGCCAAGTCACACTGTTCCGAGCTCGGTCCTTCGAGGAGGGTCCAAGGCCAACCTCATTATCTCAGAATTGCCTTATGAAATTTCTCACGATGCCCAGGCTCAATTTATTCTCGATGTTGCACCTGGGCTGTCAGTGGGGCAAGTTGTTGGGGAAATTACTCGACATGGGCGGCATAAATACGAATTCGATGCGAATGGAGTTGGGTGCAGGTGCTGGACTACTGATCAGATTAATCTTTTATATCAACTACGATTTGTCGGCAACGCATCCCAGGTTGCGGGTGCAAAGGCAGGAATCCTCAAGCTGTGGCCAGATCAGACACCACTCCCCCTTGACCAGGGGGCTTATTACCAATGAGCCTCATCTGTCGAGGATCAGATTGACGGGAAAGGATTTCGCGGTCAAGATTGTGGGATTATACGCTTTCTCCTTCGTTTGACTATTCGTCTTGGGCGGATAGATTCGTTCAAAGTTTTCATCCTTTTTCGTGTCCCAGTTGTGGATTTTCTACGATCAAGGTGGACATTCCGTCCATAGTTCTAGTGGTGTCTACTTGTGGAATGGGGTGTTCCAGGAGTCGAGCGCGTGTCTAGGAGGGAGAGTCACTGCGGGGTACTGCACAGGTTTGGCAATCCTGAACCGCCCGAACGCGCTAGGCTGCAGGCTCCCTCCCGCTCCCCGCTGGTGCCTGCTCCTACTGCTCCTACTGCTCCTACTGCTCCTACTGCTCCTACTGCTCCTACTGCTCCTACTGCTCCTACTGCTCCTACTGCTCCTACTGCTCCTACTGCTCCTACTGCTCCTACTGCTCCTACTGCTCCTACTGCTCCTACTGCTCCTACTGCTCCTACTGCTCCTACTGCTCCTACTGCTCCTACTGCTCTTCTGCTTCTGCTTATTCCCTTTGCCCTTTCTTTCTGGCTCTACTGAGAGAAAATGAAGAAAATACTTCAACGCATTCACGATGTTATCGAGGATCTGAATCGATGGCAATTCATACCTGCCAACTTCGAAGTGATACTGGAAGAACGGCTCTTCCTTGTCTGCAAGCTACCAGATCGACTGAAGCGTGAGAAGACACCACGGTCAAAGAGCGAGTACAATTCACATGCCCGACAGAAAAAGGCTCGGGAAATCTACCTCGAGGTCCTCGCAAAGTCCCCTCTTAATTTCTTGCCATTTCTTTTAGTAGTATCCCCCAGGTCGTGCCTGAACTGGAAAGTTGGCGAAGTGGGAGCAACTTTGGAGGACTGCAAAGGAATTCGACTGAGCCGTGAATTCGAAGCCAGCTTTGAATTCATTGCCAGTAAAAAGGCCTTTACCCAGTCCGTCATTTATCAAAAGATAAAGCGCCTTCTCTTTTCATCAGGTCGGTGGAAACAATCTGTTTTGGGGAATCGCGTTGACCTTTTAGCATAGTGCCTTGCCTGAGGCCTATGACAATCTCAGAAACAGATGATGTCTGGCTATACAACGCAGCCGACGTTGATAAGAGCCGGAAATTCTTCAACGAGAAGTTATACAAAGCCATCGAGAACTCTCCACAGCGAACCCATGAGAAAGAAAGGAAACTACTCAGAACAACACAGTGCATCCGTATGAGTTTTTCTCGTTCCAATAAGCAAGACGCCGTTATTCGACTAGATATCGCGTTTGATAGTGGAATCATTAAGGCTTTGTTTCCAAAGGCCTGGGAACATTTCGTGGAGATATATGGGGCCGGGGCTCCAAGCACACATGTCAACCTAGTGTCGTGCGAGGAACACGTCTGTAAGGAACACAATCTTGAATCTCAAGAACATCGACTGATGATGCTTAGTTGATAATGCCTACTTCACATTCCAAGGGGCATACGTACCAAACATTCTCGAGGTTTTGGGACCTCACGTCCATCAAGGCATTGAAGAAAGCCAACTTCGGAAATGGGAGACTGACAGCTTTCTCCTGAAGACGACGGATTGCATAACCTTGGATATAGGTCGAAGTAAACCTTACGGAGGTACCATGTCTTTGCGTATTTGCTCATCCCATGCGATTTTCATGGCTACCAAGATTTATTCTTGTGATGATAGATCTGACCTAGTTATGACAACCGATGTTTCCCTTTCTTGATCATAACAGACACTTGCTTCGGAAGCGCATCCATGAAGCCGCTTCCGCTTGTTTTCCAGATCTCCTCTCCTTTCCCATCGTTGAAAACAATTTCTTCGCACTCAAAACAGTATAATTTGCGCTCGTAATTCTCTTGTGCAATATAGTTGATCGGGTGAAGAATGCAGTCATCGAAGTAGCCCGGTTCGACAGGGAGGTTCTTCCAGCGCTCGCGCTGGAACGAATTAGTCAAGTAGTTAAATGGAGCTCAGCCAGATACATACCAAAGTTTCTGCTGCAGAATTTGCGGTCATAGCAGGGGTTCTCTGGGCTGGGGGTTGTCGCTCAAGCCTTTTGGCCGCCGTGCGGGTAAAATAGGTTGAAAGTTGTGTCTTCAATAGTTTGCGATCTCTCTTTCGATGAAAGGTTGCTGGGAATCCATGTGGTGCTCGAGATTCATTTCTGTCCCCGCGAAAGACAAGTCTTTGGAGGGGTAAAGCACTCGGGCCGAAGTCTTTTCTCCCAACTTGTGGCTAGTGAACGCCACACTCACTGCGCCAGTCTTGATTAATAATCAGAAGTGCCCTCATCGTTTTGACTCCTGTGGCACTCCTACTACTCCTACTACTCCTACTACTCCTACTACTCCTACTACTCCTACTACTCCTACTACTCCTACTACTCCTACTACTCCTACTACTTAATTTTATATGCACAAAAACCACCTCGATGGCTTAGCACGAGCTCGGATGACAAATGATAGGCTTTGTTCCCATAGGCACGACTCATCCATTCCAGATCGTGCATCGAAGTTCATGCAATCTGCAGTGTACTTTTGTAATGGATAAAGGCGTGCAGGGCTTAGCGACGAGGTATAAATGGGAACTACCTTTCAGGCCTGTGGAATTCTTTATTAGCAACCACATCGGCTTTTGATCTGATTCTACTTATCTTTTTCATCGTATCAACGAAACTCGTTAAGCAACATGGCATCTGTTCAGAGTAACCCGGACAACATGGCATTGGAGACTTCCTCTCCCTGTCAGCAAGGCCTGACGCCTCCAGACAGCCCAACAAAAGGGTCCGCCACACCTCCAGCTATCGTGAAGGATCTGAAGCATCTTTTTGACGTGCTTGAAAAGGTGCTGGCCGATATGACCAACCAAGAGCCTCCAAACACTCCTGTCTCCCAGGACAATTCCCAACCACGCCCCGACATGGTTCAACTTGGGCATTTGCTGGAGAAGCTCATTCACGATGGATATTCTTCTGTTGGACAACCGTGGCAACTGACAACCGTGGCAACTGAGCCTGCCCACCCACGCTATACTAGCAATGAACAGGACGAGAACGTTCAGGCGGGAGGTGAAATTGATCTCAAGAGTCCGATCTCTACTACCCCAGATGATTTCAAATCATTTGAAGAGTGGGCCTCGACACCCCAATTCAAGACGGTCGTGGAAACGTATGAGCCACCAATTGCCCTTCTCATTCCTCTTTAGAAACGGGCTGACATAGGTGTAGTTGGGACAAAGAAGCATGCAAATACAAGATAGCAGAGCCGGTGGAGACCCGCAGTGGTCTGGACGACTATGCTGAATATGCATTCATTGTCCGTGAACGTGTTGGTACGTAATGTCTTTGTGCAGGGGACCGAATCAATACTAATCGCATGATTAGAACGGAATTCCGAGGAGGTGACGCCGTACATAGACATTAAATCGGCAGGCTTGCGCGACATCCTGCGTGTGGTCCTGCACGACATCAAAGCTATTAGCCTGATGGAGGACAAGCCATCGGTAATTAAGACTGAGTAGAATCTCGAAGAGAACGCTGACGTGGATTTAGATCGAGCAAAACGTCCTTTTCCATTTCCTCCCAGAGCTCGACAGATGTGCGGAGAACATGGACAACAGCTCTGATCATGACTCGGTCCATGCGGAGCGTCTCCGCCTGCTCATCGACCACCTCAAGCACGCATATGCTTCTATCTCGCAGCGTCTCGAATCAATGTTGCAGCACGGTCATATTACTTATGACCTTCTTTGGGCGCTTTTCAAGCCTGGTTGCCATGTTTATACCACATGCATTGGCACAAAAGAGCCGCGATGTGTCAGATTCGACGCGGGGGAAGAGTTGACACAAAACGACGAGACGTGGTGGAATCTCGAGTGCCGATTCATCGATTATGACGGAGTCAAGTTCGGCGAGGCCGGAATATTTCTGCGTGTGGCAAAGTTCCGGGGGTCAAGGCCGATCGAGAGCCTTGAGGCCTTCCCTCTCCGCTACCATCCAAGGCACGAGGAAATCCGCAAAGACTTGGTCGAAAGAGGCCAAAAGTTTCGGGATTTGGCCGGCTCGCACATTCGGCACTGTAAAGGCGGTGCGTTCTTTATGAACAAAGGGAAGGCGATCAAAGTCAACGTCAACAGTCGAGTGGCAGTGGACGCCGCATTCTTTCATGAAATGCAGCCAAACTACTCCCGACCGTCACTCCGCGACCTAGGGGTCAAGGACAAGGGTGGGATTGCAGTTTCTGATATCGGTGCGATACTTATGGAGGACCGCGAGCGAGAGAAGGAGAGGATGCAAGGAGACGGTGTGGATGCACAAAAGCTAAGCGAGACCGATTTCTTGGTGGCCTGCCCATCAGTATGCTGTTTCAGCTTCAAGGAGAAAATGTTCTGTATGTGAGACGACTGACAATGTTTGGCGTTTGACTAACGTGATTCCAGTGGAGTGCGCAGTCAGTGCTCTTAGGGACGTAGATTGGTCACCCGGATCGTTCGACTGCCTGCAGATCCCTTCAGAGACCAAGACAATGCTCTTGTCACTGGCGAAAACACGCTTGGGTCTGATACCGACGGTACCGTTTGACGACGTTATTGATGGAAAGGGCCAAGGACTGAACATCCTCTTGAAGTATGTCGGCAAAGCGTCTGTACTATATCGAGACGTCCAGTCTAACTCATGCTAGTGGCCCACCGGGCGTCGGAAAGACATTCACGGTTGAGGCAACCTCGGAATATTTCAAGCTCCCCCTCTATTCGGTATGAACCCTTCGTCGCGCTGATTGTGGCCTTGCTAACTTTGCCAGATATCCGCAGGCGAACTTGTTGTTGACCACGGAGATTCTCATGCGCTTGAAGCACAGCTTGAAATCATCTTCAAAATCGCGAAGCACTTCAATGCTATACTGCTCTTAGATGAAGCAGACGCGTTCATGGCAAGCCGCACAGCGCTCCATGACAGCCACAATCGACTGGTAACCATATTCCTGCGAAAGCTGGAATATTATCAAGGAGTTCTCTTCTTGACTTCGAATCGGGGTATCCAATTTGACGATGCAATCCTGAGCCGGATCCATTTGACCATCGAGTATGAAAATTTGACGAGAGAGTTTCGCAGAGATCTCTGGTCAACTTTTCTGTCCAGGGCATGTACGATGCAAGGGCCTGCCGTTGTTGAGGAGCACGACCTCCGACGATTGGAGTCTTTAGCTCTAAATGGACGAGAGGTGGGGTTCCAGAGCGCTGCTGTACACTCTCACTTGCTGACTAACATGAACTAGATCAAAAACATCGCAGCAATCGCACATGCTCTCGCTGAGGCGGATGGCAACCAAGTGAGCTATAAATTCTTGGAGTTAGCCGCGGAATCGAATAAGAAATTTTCGAAGGAGTTCAGTCGACAGGGGATGGTTGATGGGATGTATCTCTAGCAGCGTACCTCGAAAAATCATGTGCATAATTTCGTTGCTCAGACCTATCGAGCAATCTGGCTCCTTTTGCAAATATGCCCATTTAACTTAAGGTTCTGCCATATCGCAAATTTTCCACCCTTTCTAAGCCAGGCTTATATTTCATTGCTCTGACATGAGCACGCCGTGTATTGCCAGACATAGGTTCAAGGGCCCGAGGGCGCTTCAACCATTTCACATCCTCCAAGTCAATGACGACCAGACGGCCACTCAGGTCATCCCACAGCATATTACGCCACTCACTGTCGCCATGGATAACTCCGCGCGATCGGAGCACAGCCAGGGCTTTGTCGCGCTCTTGGTGGAAGAAGCTAGAATTCCCATCATTGATGACATGTTGAAGCCGCGTTCCTGACCAGCTCAAGATCATCATCTGGGCCATTAATTTGCCGTGGTACCAATATGCAACGCGAGGCTTAAAGTCCCCAAGACAGACGGGGATGTGTTGTCCCTGCAAGCTCCTGAGATAGTGATAATTGTCCACTTCCGCTTGGAGGCGATGCTGCTTCTCCACAGTCGTAGCTTTAATGATCACAGTGTATCCGCGCGAAAGAAGGGTGGCTTTCATGAGGTATCCTGTCCGACCACAGACATGCAGCTGTTCGAATCCAAGATCTCGATCTCGGGCAAGTTGACGATGAAGCTGGCGTGTGAACTCCTGCGGTCCCATGGAGTGTCTCTGACCACCGTGGATTTTCCAGTTAGGGCATTTTTTATCCAGTGGTTCTCGGTTGACCATGCCGCGGATGCAGGAAATGGTGCAGTATGGTCGTGTGGAATGCCTGTCTTTTCGAGAAATCTGTTTGTTGTCCCGGTCGGCTCGTGTCCTTTCGCTTCCCCTAGTTGATTGGCGGTTGTTGCCTCGGCCACGGCTCGATCGGCTGCGCGATGCTGCCGCGGTAGATGGCGAGTGCGATTCTTGATCACTGTCGCTGCCTTCAGTCGACGAGTGCTTCGGCGTAGATGCGCCTGGTTGGCAACGAGCGCGAGCACGAGAGCGTGTGTTGTGTATTTTCCGATCTCGTTTCCGCTCTCGTTTCCAGTGCGAGGGCCGATAATTAGAGGCCCGCGGGTCTTTACGGAGAGTTTCGGGAATTTCCCTCAACACGTCGAGATATTCGACCTGCCAGGTCGTTAGCTTATCATGCGCCGCATCGTGCCATTCTTGAGTCGGAGGTTCGACGGCCAGCGCTTGAAGGGTGAAAGCAAGCACCTGACCGATGGCGGTCCGGTGGAGGCGCAATTCATCGTCCGCTTGCACATCTTGATTCGGGATACACAAGAAATATTGAACAACGGTAGGATCATCCTTTGGAATATGGAGGAAAACGAAAGCCTCTCCGGTGCAGATGTAGCCATATCGAACTCCAATGTCGATCATGTACGAGAATACCTGAGTGACCACGGCGGCGACGAGGCGGGTGGCATAAAATTCAAATGTGTCACCTTCCTGGTCAATGACATCGCGAGCCAGATCAGTCTGGTGTAGACCCGCCACCAGTTCGGGGATTGTCACTTTGTGGGGCGCTTTGAACTCCACTGCATAAACTGGTA